TGGTGGTGGAGTGGTGGGGGGTGATATGTCATAGAAACATACAAATAGTTTGTGTGTGTGTGTGTGTGTGTGTATGTGTGTGTGTGTATGTGTATGTGTGTGTCGTTGTTTGTGTGTGTGTATGTGTGTGTGTGTTTGTGTGTGTCGTTGTTTGTGTGTATGAGTGTGTGTGAGTGTGTGAGTAATATTATTACATACTTAAAAATTCCGAGAAAAAAAATAATGGCAAAAAAAATAATATCATTGTTTGCATTAGAATTAATTGAATTTTAAAAAAAAGTAGAGTTTCTAACTAAGTTACAACTAGATTTCCTCATTATGATAGTAAAAATTATGGATAATTGAAATGTATATTATTATAGTACTTACATACACACTGACTGTCTTAGTGATGAGACCAATTTATGTACATATTTATGTATTTTCTTATGCTCTGACTGACTTACTGATTGTATAATTCATGCACATACTTAAGTATTAATTTGCATATACACTGAATGACTTTCTAATTAGCTCATTTGTGTACAGACGTGTCTATTAGCATACAGACTAACTGTCTGACTGACTAGATCATTTATGTGCATATTTATGTACTTACATAAACACTCATTGTGGTATTGGTTAGCTAATTAATGTACATAATTTATGGATTTGCATAAACACTCATTGTTTTAGTGGTAAACTAATTTATGTACATATTTATGTATCTAACATACACACTGTCTGTCGTATGTACATATTTATGTTTCTTTTGGGGAGGTAGAATATTTACAATAAAAAATAAATGGAATAATATAATTGTCTGTACAGTTGGTATGCTACTTGACGTGCATGGGAGAGAGAGGGGGGGGGAGGGGAGAGAAAGAGAGATAGATAGATAGATAGATAGATAGATAGAGAGATAGGAGAGAGAGAGAGAGAGAGAGAGAGAGAGAGAGAGAGAAAGTGTGTGTGCTAGAGTGAAATGTCGAGTGTTGTTAGATAGATAGATAGATAGATAGATAGATAGATAGATAGATAGATAGATAGATAGATAGATAGAGATAGATAGATAGACAGATAGATAGATAGATAGATAGATAGATAGATAGATAGATAGATAGATAGATAGATAGATAGATAGATAGATAGATA